CAGCACAGGTATCCAGAGCAGTGTGATTACAGTAAAGCCCACACATACGCTGCCCCCAGTAAAACACTCCCAGCACAGTTAACCTTTTGATCACCCCTCATGTTAACCCCTTCCTGCTCAGTGCCATTAGTACAGTGTCAGTGTATTTATTTATTTTTTTGCACTGATCGCTCTATTGGTGTCACTGGGGATGTCCGTAACACCAAGTAAGTTCCCCCCAGTGTCAGAATGCCCGCCGCAGTCCCGCTATAAGTCGCTGATCACTGCCATTGTTGGTGAAAAAAAATTCCAGTATCTATATCACCATTTGTAAACGCTATAACTTTCTTGTAAACCAATGAATTTACACATGTTGTGATTTTTTTTTTTTTTTTATTATTATTTATTTATTTTTTTGCAAAGACGTAGCACAATACATTTTGGCCTAAATTTATGGCGAAATTAGATTTTTAAAAAAAAAATTTTATTGGGCATGTTTAACCACTTGCCGACCACAGATAGCCAAATTCACCGTGGCCGGCCAGGTCTGGGGGGCGCGCACCAAGTGATCTCGCTGATCACATGTTGTAAAAGGCCAGATCACTGGCAATTGTCAGAGGACTGATTGGCACCGATCATAAGGGCACTGATGATCCGTGCAATCAGTGCCACCCGGCAGTGCTTCCTATCAGTGCATGCTCCTCAATGCACAACAGTGGAGAAAAATGACCTGTTTGCAAAATTTTATAATAGAAACAAAGAAAAACTTATAGCGCAAAAAATAAAACAGCAAGTACATACCACCAAAAGAAAAGCTTTGTGTGAAAAAAATGATAAAAATTTTCATATGGGTGCAGTGTTGCATGACTGCACAATTGTCATTCAAAGTGCGACAGTGCTGAAAATTGACCTGGGCACGAAGGGGGTATGAGTGGCCGGTAGGCAAATGGTTAATAGCAAAAAGTCAAAAATATTTTTTTTTTCCTCAATTGTCGTCGTGGTTTTTTTTTTTAATAGTGCAAAAAATAAAAACTGCACATGCGATCAAATATCACCGAAATAGAGCTCAATTTGTGGGGATAAAAAGGACATAAATTTCATTTGGGTGCAGCGTTGCATGACCGCACAATTGTCAGTTAAAGTAACGCAGCGCCGTAACGCAAAAAATGACCTGCTCAGGAAGGGGGGTAAATCCTCTGGAGGGCAAGTGGTCAAGTAGTTGATCAGTGGAATATCTTTTATCCTAACTGATCACTGCTGTTATATGCAGTTGCATAGAACGTGTGGCTAAAATAAAACCATTTTAGCTTGAGAGCATAGGTCACTGCTACTAAAAATATCCAGGACTTGGGTGCCAAAATTCCTATGGACACTTGGTACACACTGAGGAAGTAAATCTAAGCCTCTCAAACATAGTTCAGTTACTGTATTGTAGACCTTGGGAGGTAAAAATTCTATCTTGTTATGCAGCCAGAAACAGGATCATAATACTTTTTGTATTTTCAAACTTGAATGGTTTAAAGAATTGCAAATGAGGATTTAATTGTGGTTACATCTACTTTTTTTAAAGTTTTAAACTCCTTTTTAAAAGACATTTGTTTTTAAATGGATGCAGGTTTGCACCCGGCCCTTATGTATTTAGACAAATTTATAGTTTGCAATTAATGTATTTTCTGTTTGTAATAAAAAATAAAATCTTTATTTCACAAATAAGGGTTAATACAGTTTTCATGGGACATTCTAGACAACAATGCCTGTTTATTTTGACAGTCTTGCCCTAATATAAAATCTCTGTTTGCGATTGAATTAATTTGCAGAGCGCACTGGCATAGTTTGCTATAATTGCATTAAAATATAAAAGATACGTACACATCCCAACAAAAAATAAATGCACATTTTTTTATTTTTTTTTTTTTTTTTGCAGGTAAAGAAAATGTGCATTTATTTTTTGTTATTGGAGCATGTAAAGCATTGCACCAGCGATCAGCAGGTCGCTAATGCCATGCAGGTCTCCTGCAGACCTGTCAGTGCATCTGCTTCTTCGTACCTCGTACGGAGAAGCCAATACTTACTGAAAAGAAGACTCCTTTAACTATTACATCGCTGTGGTAGTTCATTGAGCGCTACAAGCTGGCAGCCGCAAAGGCTGCTGGGACTTGTAATTGTCTCATTCACAGAACACTGCAAGGCCGTGAGATGATCCCCTGCTAGCTGTCATAGTGGGGACCGGTCTGTTCATAGTGTATTGCACCATCCTGAATATGGGTGAAACATGTTACGAAAGGTGAACTTATCCTTTAATTTTTAACTCTGAGGCTGCAGAGATGGAGAATGAGGGCTGTCCTCAATCTTCTTTATCTTTTTTAAAAGCGTGATGTCAAGGGTCTGTTTAGGCCCCAAAGCCCTCCAACAGGGCTGCTAAAAAAAATTGTAATAAGTGTGTAAACAATTAAAATAATAAACTATTGACACTGTCCACTCTCCTACTGACTGACACTGTCCATTTTTAAAGTAGACTAAGTTTATAGGTAGAAGTCCTTGTTAGTTAATTTTCAAAGAGGTGGAGGTCTAACTGAACAACATGAAATATTAAGTTTTGCCTACCCCCTGGTTTACAGGCTATGCAGAAGATAAAACCTGAACAAAGAGTTGGGAAAAACTATTTCTAACAGCGAACTGTTTTTATTTAGTGGTCCAGGTATTCTTTTTTGTGAGAATAGTTCAACTGTCATGCAGATTCAGCAAGGGGACTATGGACAGATCACCTGCTGAATCAGAGCAGTATTGGATTTCACTTTGTGAAATAATGTCAGCTCAGTTTGTTTCCAGAGCCTGATGGGCCCATGTTAGGTCTATGGGCAGCTGGATGTAACTGATGTTCCTGAACACCTTTTTATACCTCAGTTCAGTTTAATTTTTGTCCAAAACAATTGAAAATGTGGGGGGGGGGGGTTTTCCCTTCATAATCTTGGATCGACTTGAAGGTAGTCAGGTTTAAATTGCTGCACATACAATCATATTTGACTGTTGAACATTGAAGAATTCTGTATTTAGTAAAAAGTGAAGTGCTTAGAACCGTGGACATCAACCTATGAACTAAAGGGGGCTTCAAATGCATCCGGGACATCACCAAAGGGATGTACATAATGTTCAATAATGCTTGAAGAGGACTGTGAGAAACTGCAGACTTAATACAGAAATGAGGGTCAGAGTGTAAACATGCTACAATCTTGGCTGGGAATATGCTGCATAAAACCATATGAAACTAAGAATATGTTACTGAGGCTAGTTGAGATCTGTGCTATTACCCTAACCGTGTCCTATTGAGTGTCCCATCCCATACCAAGGGACTGCAGGTTGGGCACCAGGGGTTAAGCAGCTGTGTGTTTGTTTTTTTTTTTGGGGGGGGGGGTTTTTTTTTTTTTTTTTTTTTTTTGCTTCTTACCTTGTGACAGTATCCATATATTTTAGAAAGCCTTCAATTGTAAATTGTGGAACAAATGAATACCCCTAAAGTGTATTCCTACTCAAACTTTCAGAAAAGGGTTAGAATTTCTCTAAAAGCCAGCATGGATCATAATGCAGCCATTTCAGCAGGGACAGGCTGAATTTTGATCCACATATGGACAGCGTGGTTGTACACACAGGGTGGTTGATCTACCAATCAATGTCTTTGCAGCAGCCCTGTTGGAAGATGTTTTCTCTTATCAGTGCCGTTGACTATAGCTGACAGCGCTGATCAGTGTATTCGGTCGACAGGGAAGTCTCCCTGCTGTCAGAATACAATAGCTCAGTGGTTACCATTCCCCCATCCACCTCAAATGTGTGGTTGGGGAATAAAGTGTGTTGGTTTGTGATTGCTCTGATTGGAATTTTCACTTTCTTTCCTGGTGATGTTGGTTTTACCAGATAGAAATTGATGGAAAACTTGCAGCAGGAATGCCGAGCGTGCTTCTAGTTTCTCTTTACCAAACTGTAAAATGTATTTGTGTAGCTGTTGGCCATTTCCGATCATGTTACGTTTTTGGTGAGGCACTTGTCAAAAAAAAACGGGAAATGAGGGTATATCTTTTTAAGAAGGCTCCAAACCGCAGTAAATCCCGGCAGCTAATCTAACACTTACCTTCTCTATCTAAAGTGGTTCAGATTTTGTCTTTACTGCTTACACTGCCTGGGGGAGGCCCCTTAACATATCACCTCTTAGGCATAAAATGTACTTGTTAAAAAAATAAGTATATATTTGCCTCTCACATCATTTAGCATAGCTGGGGAGGCATTGCCATTATTAGAATATTCTTGGAACATCAGGCAGAAGATCCTTCAGTCCATTGCAAGAGTGTCTTCTGTTGAGGTTTCTGCTGCTGTTCAGTGTCTAGCTGGAAGGAATGTGATGTTATATGTTCCTAGGCTCTTTGGGTGGAAGAGGTGAACCAAGTATAAACCCTAACTTGTTTTTTATTTACAGGTACATTTTATACCTACTTATAGTAGGTTATTTGTAGAGGTGGAGACAGGACAGTACGTGTAAGAAGGCCTTGCATTTTACTTTAAGATTCGCTTTAACTGCGTAGACTTGGTGGTGCCAGGCAGTGCTAACAATGGCAAGGAAGGTGCCAAGAGATGTGTTGCACTAGACCTAGTACTGCTTCCAGAAGTAGTGCAGTGGCAGCCTCCATCACAAGTTTACTTAACAGAGCTGAAGCCAGTGCTCACACATAGGCCTGAGTTCTTGGTGCATGGAAATCTTTAACCATGTCCCTTTAATGTGAAGTTGTTTCTGTACAGGTTTCAACTTTTTTTTTTAGAAGTAGATAGAGCTTTTTGAATTGGTGTTTTGCATGCCTTCCCTGCTTGCCTCAATGCTGCTATCATACAGCCTTCAATGCAGCTCTGTATCCCTCCCAGACACAGCAAATCCCCAAGGACACCATCTCTTCCAACAGCTCTGAAACCTTCTCAGCCAGATTGTCACCGAAGGCAGATCAAATTGTTCATTTTATTCATTCAGTTTTGTATCATTGCAGGAAACTGTCAATACTCAAGAAGAAGAAAAAACTGAGACTTGTCAGGAGATTGTAAACCCTGAGCACTACATTAAGCATCCACTACAGAACAGGTAGGCATTACATTTGCACAGCTTATTTTAAACTGATAAACGCTAAGGTGAGCATTTTTTGCAGGGGAACGAAGCCAATCAATTTAACGGCTTCCCAAAACTGAAATATTCAAGACTTGCTCAATTAAACACTTAGATGCTTGTGTTCTCAGCCAAACTGTCAAGCCATCAAATTGCTGGGGTTTTAACTGATCATGTGCAGCATCATGGCCACTGCAGACCAAACAGGGTAAGATGGCAGCTTCCTTGGCTGTAAAGGATAGGAGGGTTTAACGTATAACTAAACTTCTTCTTCTTTATTTTTCTTTTTTTTGCTATGAATTGAAACACCTGATAGTGTTTGATGCATGTGACTTCATTTGGGATATCCACCCTTTCGATTTTCCTATTTTTCCATTATTGATATTAAAAAAAAAAAAAAAATCTCAAACTTTGGGCTACCCCCAAAAGCTTAACTTTTTGAAAGGGGATGCTAGTTTTGGTTACCCTGGAGGCCCCAAGAGATTCCCTTGGTATGCAGGGATTTCATCTCCTTTCCTGTTTTGGCCATGGGACAGGAATGAAAGGTAAATCTCCCAAATGGGGAAAAAAACAGACCGGGGTTATAATCCTTCCTTATGCTTTATCATGTGCCCATTTATTTAAACTGGGGTCACATTATACTAGTGTTTGGGTTGTTTTTTTGTCAGTAGTGGAACAGAATGGTGGCTATACGCTGTACAAAATTCTATTGATTGTCTTAAAAGTATTGGGTGAAAAATGAGCCAAAAAAATCGATTGAAGAATTTGAAAAACTTCTATTGAATGAGTGAAATTTGAAAGGTGGGTGGGTTTCACATGCTGTAAAATTCATTCAGACATCCAGGATGTTGCACCTGGGTTTTTTTTTTTTTTTTTTTTTGGGGGGGGGGGGGGGTTACTTTTTTGTTTGAGAATACTGATGCCCTGCTCTCTTTTGCAAGATCTGGGTTTAGTGTTTTATTTTAAATTGGACCACAAAATAATCAAACTTGGTATGGTCATAATTGTTGCAGATGGGCCTTGTGGTTCTTCAAAAATGACAAAAGCAAAACCTGGCAAGCCAACCTTCGATTAATTTCAAAGTTTGACACCGTTGAAGATTTTTGGGCGTAAGTATCCGTATTTATGTTGTCTTTTTTCAAATATGTTTATGTACACACTATATATGCATTTAAATGTTCTTTATGTAGGAACAAGTTAAAACACACACCACACAGTTAACCCTTTGATCGCCTTTCAGATGATAACCCCTTCCTGCCCAGTGTCATTAATACAGTGTCAATGCTGTTTTTGTAGGAGTGATCACTGTATTAGAGTCCCGCTATGAGTCGCTGATCGCCACCATTACTAGTATAATAAAATAAATTCCAGTATATATACCGCCGTTTGTAGACTTTTTTTTTGTTTATGTAAACATACTTGTGACAGCATTAAGCACGTGACCGGTACTCTTTATGGATGGATCTGGGGTAAATAAGACCCTAAATTCCTCTTCTACACTTAAGAGCATTGAAAACACCAAGATCAGTATTTTTAAATTATTTGTTGTTTTGGTTTTTTTAAATTACGCAATTATGTTATGCATAAACCGGTAGTGATGTCAGATTGCCGCTTCCAGATTACTTGAGCTGTTTTTGAAAACAATCAAGCAGCTTGTTAGCTGCTTCAATTGCTTTTACAACAGAGCCAACTGCCGGCTCTAAAAAAAGAAAAAAAAAAAAAAAAAAAACTGTACTGGGATGAAGCTGCAGGCATCATCCCAGTATAAATGCTTGAAGTCCAGCAACATTCGAGTACATTGCTGGTCTGCAAGTGTTTTAAAATATTTTTTTTTTCTAGTACGAGACACATCTGAGGTTATCTAAAAGGTTTTTTTTTTTTTTGTTTTTTGTTTTTTTTTTTCCTCTAGGCTTTATAATCATATCCAGTTGTCTAGTAACCTAATGTCAGGTTGTGACTACTCACTTTTTAAGGTAAGTGCTTTATCTTTTTGTCCTAACATTTGTAAAAATTTGTATCATATTTATGAACAACTGTATTTTAACAGGATGGTATTGAACCCATGTGGGAAGATGAAAAAAATAAGCGTGGGGGAAGATGGCTAATTACACTTAATAAGCAGCAAAGGAGGAATGACCTTGACCGCTTTTGGTTAGAAACGGTAGGTTTCTTGATTTTTGTTCATTTGTTATGGGGTTTTCCTTGAATGATGGTAATCTACAGTTGTATTTTCTGTAATTGTTTTTGTGACTCTTTCATATTGGGCAATTTACCAAACCATTCCCAAACTATAGCATATATTTCAGCATCTTCTCGCAGTTGCACTTTCAAATTGTTTTTCAATTCAGACTTAATCTGTGATCACTTTAAGCTAAAAGAAATTGCCACTTGCACTGTAAAGCTGGCATTTGCAAAACCCGGGGAGCACGGTTATGCATACAGTAACTTCATTTTCTGAATTTGGAACTGTGGCACACTCCATCCTACATTTTACTGTGGGAAGAAAGAAAAAGAAAATTTGCGTTTTAAAAACCACTGTGCCAAAAACCGTTTGAAAGAAAAACTGCAAAACTCGCCATTTTATTTTCTAGGGCCTCTGCTAAATATATATTTAGGGGTTCTAAGTAATTTTCTAGCAAAAAAATATTTATTTCTAGATGTAAGCAAAAAGTGTCAAAAAGGCCTGATGTTAAAGGGCTTAAAGACCAGTAGGGAGAGGTTCCATTTTGTATTTGCATAAATGAGCCTCCTGGATTTTGGTGGTTAGCTTGTTTTTTTTAATTTAAATTGGTTGATTTTGTCATAAAAGCTTTTAATTCTTTACCTATTGTTACCTACGCTTAATCTGTTCTGTCTGCAGAGTATTTGTGCAAATACAACAGTAACCTTTTCTCCCATCATTGTCATTTTTTGCATTATTGAATCTACTTTTAAGTGCTTGATGTCTACTTTCTTGAAAATTGCTCTCACTGAATGGAGGACTAAGAAAGTAAATCCAGAGAAGTTATTTGGATTTTACTGATACTATCCTCCTAAAGCAAATGGTAGAAGAACAGGTCTGGCTGCAAGACGTTTGAAGGACCTACTTATTCTATCAACACTTTCAATATCTGCAGATGGTTCAACCTGTAGGGTATACCCATTCCTACCAGAATGGTTTGGATTCAAGGTTGTAGCCAACACCATTATTCTAATGACTCCATATATGTGCATGCAGAAATGATGCTTGTGACATCCATGTCTTCAATATTGTTGGAAATAGACAATTTACAGTGTGCTTTAACGTTTTAAGTTATGTATGTCCTTTATGAACTGTAGGGTAAACATGGGATTAAAGGATCCATCCAAAGCTAAATTTTCAGCTTTTGGTCAGTTAAAGTGGTTGTAAAGTCACTTAGGTTAGTTACTCGTATCCTTTCTGCAGTATGTGAGGTTTTTTTTGTTTTAATTATTACTCTAAATGCTATATTTCACAGCACCGCTGTGCGATCATGTGATCTCCCTCCGCTCTCCTTCCCTGATCTAAAGAGTGGCGGGAGGGGAGATTCCCTAGCAGAGGGAGATCATGCGATTGCACAGCAGCTGTGTGAAACAAATTATTTGGCGTCATAATTCTTTTTTTTTTTTTTTTTTTTTAAATCACATACTGCACTGTATATCTTCGTACCGCAGAGCGGATACAAGTAACTAAAGTAAGATAGGTTCTCACACACTAGGAACTGGCAGGGAGGGACTTTGTACACAGTAGAATGGTGGAGGCACATAAACTGACCACAGTATCGTGAATCGGCAGCCTTGATTGCCACGGTCAGCAGTCACAGAAGGACGCAAGATCATCCCAAGTATTTTAGAAAATATAATGGGACAAATGACACTGCAGAAGTACTATGCTGGTTCTCATGCTTTAAAGGAACAGGAAGTTTTTTTGGGGGGGGGGGGGGGGGGGGGGTACCAGAATGTAGAGAAACTGGTGGGTCTGCTCTGGGCAGTGTCTGTCTAGTGTACTGTAAGAAATATTTGCTGACCGCTTGTGATTTGGCTACTTTTTGCTGATTTTTGTTATCCATGGTTTCTTTTATCCATGAGTTTTCTTTATGGCATCTTTAAGACACAATATGGATGAGAGAGGAGTTTTTAATGCATTATTTAAAATTCTTGATTTACCTTTTCAGCTCATGTGCCTTATTGGAGAGTCGTTTGATGACTACAGTGATGATGTATGTGGAGCTGTTGTAAATGTTAGAGCAAAAGGAGACAAAAATAGCAATCTGGACTACTGAATGTGAAAACAGAGAAGCAGTCACACATATAGGGTAAGTTGTATTACCATTTTACTAAATTATGTATGGAAAGCACCAACAGCTGATCAAGTTTGGACACTTAGAATAGTTTGCAGTGTGTTCATGATTTACTGGTAACAATATGTTCATAAATTGTATTTTTTTTTTTTTTTTTTTTTGTTCCATAAGTCTGATTTTAATGTAATGATTATGAAATCTGTACATCTTTGCCTTTTTATTATAGTTAATAAAATGTTGGATTTAGTGACTTTTACAGCCGCTGACATTGGCACTTTGTCAGCTGCTTCAATATTTTTAAAAGCTTGCTTGTTGTGTTACTTGTGCTGAACACAAGATCATCACTGCAGGTTTCCTTTTTGAGGGTGGCTACTTTTACCTTTCTTTTGCCTGTGAGCGAACTGTCCCTGCCTGTGTGCATAAGCACATACACACACAGCCCCAAAACCTAGGGAATGCAAGCCATTCCCCCCCCCCTGCTCCTCGCATATCCAGGCTTATTGATTGTCAGCAGCTCGATACTCTATCCCTTGTAACTGGCCCCATGTGAATTACTCAGTGTGCATCTCTTCCTGATAGGAAGTTTGGGAAAGCAGCACTGGGATCATGGCACAGTCGTACCAGTAAATTATTCAGAGAAGTTTATTTGGTTCATCAAAATGTTTTGACCTAAAAAATCTGAGGAGAAAAAAATTACTGTTTTTTAACAACTTGTTTTACTGTAGACTTTGAAAGTGCAAGCTTCATTACCATTCTCATTTACAGATTTAAACAGTCAGCAGTGGTCATACCAATATTTAGAATATTTAGCTTAAAACTGGTTGATTTTTGTTTGGTTTTTTTTTTTTTTTTGCATATCTCTGCATTATATTATGTTTTACGGGAAAAACTTGGTTATAAAGAAAATTGTAGGTTAGCTGTGTTGAACAAATGACCCTTTAAATTTAAATGACATATATGTTTTTTGTCTTTTTTTTTTTTTTTTTTTTTTTTTTTCCTTTTTCTTTTTCCAGGAGGGTTTACAAGGAAAGATTAGGACTTCCTGCAAAAGTAGTGATTGGATATCAGTCCCATGCAGATACGGCTACTAAGAGCGGCTCCACCACCAAGAATAGATTTGTTGTTTAAGAAGACGCCTTCTGAGTATTTTTTTCATAGGAGACTGCGTCAAGCAATCGCGACTTGGGAGCTGTACCAAAGCCTCTACAAAAGCAGAGTGGACTGCATTCAGATTTGATTTCCACCTCAATATTGCTAAGAATTGTGAAAAGTCATTCGCCTTTTTGTCTTGTGCTAATGTTCAAATTCCCTCACTTTTTTTTTTCTAATTTTTTTTTTTTTTGGTAAGATTAAGTTATCCAATCATAACATTTCAACACCCTTCCTCCCAGTATCCACAGTGGTTGCCCAGGTTATCTCTGTAATAGTTTTTTTTTTTTGGTTAACTACTATTACAGAATTATTTATCCAAAATGTGCGCTTGCATAACCCACCTTGAAATCTCTACATTTTGCATTGTATGCAGTTACAATAGTTTGCTGATCTTGCAAGGCGGAGGATTAAAATGCATTCAAACTTCTCTAGCGATTCATGGTTTGTTTTTATTTTTTTTTTTTTTTCCTTATTTTAACAGCATTGTTCTGGCTGTATTTTGTGCTGATGTTGGCTGCTAGGTTTAATTTATTTGTTTCCCTCCTTGATAACATTAGTAATAATCTGATTTAATTTTTTTTTAGCTCATGTAACATTGGTGATGGATCTGGGAAAAGAAAACAAAATGGGTTGAATAAAAGTGTTATTTTGTGTGTTTAGAAACATTCTTTACATTTTTTTTTTCTTTCTTTTTTTTTTTTTTTTTTGTATGCCATTATAAAGCTTTGCTGCAAGTTTATGCATTTCAGTAGAATCGGTGACCTGTTTCTGTGATTTTTCTTAAGCATAATTGTTTTTTTTTTTTTTTTTTTTTTTTGTTTTTTAATGTACACCATAATGACATTCCTTACTAGAAATAGTATGTCTTTTGTTTTTTTTTTTTTTTTTGCTTTTTTTTTTGCTTTTTTTTTTTTAATATCCTATGGTGCATTTTAACACTTTGTATTAGATTATTTTTTGCTTTGGTTATAAAAAAAAACAAAATGGCTCAAGTAGCAAAGCAGTCACCGTTCATAAGACAGTGTACAAAACTGTAAATAAAACGTGTACAGTGAATTGTCTTTTAGACAACTAGATTTGTCTTTTTTATTTTATTTTTTTCCAAACACCTTACCTGTGGGAAACTGTATCTGCTCCCTTCAGTTTGCAACAGTGTGCATCTATTGAATCTACTGCCCTACATACTGATGACTTCAGACTGGCTAGACTTTTTTTTTTTTTTCATTTTTTTTATTACTTGCAATTACACTAATTGCTATTTTTGTATTTTATAGTTGGATACATTTTATGTGGCATGCAAAATTCCAGCTTGTGTTGTGTTTTATGGCAATGCCTTAAAATGCCATTATTTTGGCCTTCATGCATGAAAGTTGCAGATCTTGAAACCAGTTTTCAGAACACAGTGCTGTTTTTAATATGCTCCCACAGATGAAATGGATGCATTATACTTAATTTCTCTCAGTATTTAAATGCATAGTATTGTTGCTCTTCTACCACAGATAAGGTTTTCTTGAACTGTTAGGTTACATTCAAAAAAGTATTGGTGCTCAAAGTGCATTGTTAAGCATCTGCTGGTCCCCCAACAATACAAGCCCCATGCCATTCCTTCCATAGTCCAGCAGTTGCAGTAGGTACACATGGATGTACTGTTTTGAAATATGTTGGACAAAGTATGATTTGTTTATGCTAAAACGTTGAGTGCTGGATTGTACATTTACCCCATCCTTACTTTGCTTGGTATTGAGAAAATAATTTATTTCCTCTTACTGGTTGTTTCAAGAAATCTTGTTCATATAGCAGTTTATGCTGTAGATCAGCGATCCCCCTTCAGAGCTTTGTAAGCCACACTTTAGTACCCGTTTCCCATGTATGTATGTTTTTTCTCAGTTTTGTAACATTTTACAAAGCTATTTGCTGAATTATACATTTTAAATACACATTATGCTAACACCAAAGGCTCTTTAATGCATGTTTACACTGTTTAGCCATATAAACGGTTTTCTTAATTTTTGTGGTCCTGCTGTGGTTTCCTTCAGGATATATGATGCCAGTGTAAGTTGCTAACCATTCTATCAAATGTGAAGCCACACACTGATGTGCTAGTATATAATAAAATATCACTTGCTCATTAGCCAGCAGATATAATTGTCTAGAAAGATTGAGTGGGGACCAGAATGCTTTTGTAAGGTGTACTTTCAGTACAGTCTTCCTTGATTTGTTCAACATCTTTTACCATTTTAAGATTATGTTCCACTTAGAGTGAGTGCTTGTTTTTTTCTTAGACGTACAGGACACAGCATCTTTAGTTTCTAAGCATGGGTTATTTAGAGCTAACATCAGGTACCCTGAGTAGGATACTGGTAAAAAGGTGGCAAGAAAATCTCCTCTATACCCCTCCCGCACCTGAGCAAGCCTCCAGGTTTTTTTTTTTTTTTTTTTTTTTTTTTTTTTCTTTCGTCCTTTTTTTATATAGTTGGTTCTCTCAATTTCTGGCTGCACCCTACCCACTTCAGGTTCCATTCTGCAGCTTCCAGATTGGTTAACCTCCTCAGTACACTCTTTAGGGATTGTACCCAGACCCCATCTGGAGAAGACCTGCAATGTTGCTTCGAGCACTGGGTCCTGTGTGGGCACTCACCTTGGTACTTGTTGCATTAGCTTGCATGGTGCTATATAAGTCCAGGGTCCTGGTCTACAGGTCTGTTTGTGGAGGTGGAGCCTAGAATGGGCCTGGTCCTGAACATTTTACCCAGAGTATAAAGACATTTGTTACAATTGGTTTTAGTGTTTCTGCCTTCTCTGTTCTAGGATGCTAGTGCCCTAATGTGTCTGGCTGCAGCATTTCAATTGATGTATCATTTTCATTGAGTGGGATTGCTGGCTATTTAAATTTTGGTCCCTTTTCCACCTGGCCCTTGACCACAGGTTTATCACAAGACCTTAGTTTCAGTAGTTTCACTATGTGTGTGCCTTTTTTTTTTTTTTTTTTTTTTTTTTTTTTTTTATTGGCATGCTCCCTCTGTACCTGGTCAACTGGTACCAGTAGTACAGCACAGCAATCCTAGGTTACTTTAGTGGATTCAGCAGCCTGCTGTACCTGGCACAGAAGGCTTCATCTCTCCCTTTCCACAGCAGCGATGGTTGCGGCTACCCCTATCAGTCACAAATTAGCTCCTTTTAGTCTTCCCCCGAGTCATTTTCTGACTTGCTCTCACAGATAATATGCTGCTTACATTTTCCTCAATGACATGGATGGCTCTCATGAGTGATGCCAGCCTCGCTGGCTGGGGTGGAACCCTGGGTGCCTTCTTGATGCAGAGGCCATGGGCATTGGAGGAAGCTTGATTTGTTGTCTTTAACAGTAGACCTCTCAGCTATGAAGTCACCAAACAAGAATCCAGTCCAATAGTGCTAGGGTCATTGCCTACATCAACCAACAAGGAGGACTCAGAACAGACTGACTCAAAAAAAAATTTGATTTTTGCTGGAGTATAATAGCATGTTTTAGTCCTGTCTGCCATTCACATCCCAGGAAAGCTGGCAGGTAGAGTTTCTCAGCAGTCTGCCAGTATTCAGGAGAATGGGCTCCCAACCAAGAGGTATTCCAGACTTTCCCACAGGTGTGGGATGCAACATGTGGATTTTATGGCATCCAGTTTAACTGGACAGGATTGTTGCCAGGTCCTATGACCCACAGGTCTTCACTGTGGATACACTGGTGAATTTGTACAGACAGATGCATAAACTCAGGTGGAACTGGTCCTACAACTTTTCCCTTGGCAGCTCTGCAGGATTGAGATGGAGAGCATTCGGTGATTCTCATTGCACTGAACTGACCCAGGAGGACATGGTACTTGGACATAAGTCCTGGTGGACTTTCTGTGGGGCCCTTCTGAATAGTCTTGACCTGTCCCAAGGGCTTGTCCACCTTATTCCTTCTCTCATCTTGCAGGTTGTTGAAGCCAAAGGATTGGGACATGGACCTATTGGTTTCTGTCATCCCTACCTACTTGAAAGCTAGGAAGTTTACTTCCTAGGATGAAATTTCCCAGTCTTAAACTAAACAAAATATGCATTCTACGTGCAATGGAAGGCTCTGAGAAGTCCTCTGTGGGACACATCCTATCTTTCCTCCAGCCTTGTCTTGATCAACATCTTGCCTTGGGTACCATCGGGAAAAAAATCTTGGCCATTGCCATTTTGTTTCAGAGACTGTTGACACCTCATTCCTTAGTTAAGACCTTCTGTGCAGGGTATTGCATATTTCTTTACCTGTCCATTCTCCTTTGACGTCTGTGAGACCTTAAACTGGTTCTCTCGCCCCCTTCATGGTCATCTTTCAGACATAACAGGGATATTCTCTTATCTGACCTTCACTTGCAATGTGGCCTTTATCAAAGCCATCACCTGCGTAGAGTTTGAGTTGGGGACTTTTTATCCTGTAATTGGATTTCTTTTTCCAGATGGTTCCTGCAGAGGGTTCCCCAATTTTCAACCCACCATTGCGAAGTGGATGAGAGAAGTCATCATTTGAGCCTGCAGCCTAAAGGATTTTCTTTCCTTCCCTTTTTAAGAGGCACTTTACCTAATCTGTTAGTTCCATGGGCTTTTCAGCATGCTGTTGTCAAGCCCCTCTTGACCAATTTGTTTGGGCTTGCTAGTTTTCTGTGTTGCCATCCCTCAGTTTGAATGCTCTTGGACATACCATGGTTAATGATCCTGTGTACTGTGCCACTAAGAAAATAAAGTTTACCTTGCCAGTAAAATATTTGAGTACTGTGCACACAGAACGTGCTTGCTGGGCATGAAAGGGGAGTTTATATAGGGAATATTCCTGCAGCTTTTTTTCAATTTTTTTTTTTTTTTTTTTTTGGCCAGTGTTCGGTCACTGAAAGAGGTATATACTCCATGGTTAAAGAGTAAGGCCCTGCTGTATGAGGTTTCACTATTTAGGTACAGGCAGTGCACTTTCTGTC